AGAGAGAATCATTACCAAATATGAGTGTCAGAAACTAGGCCGATGGCAGTGTCAGAAACTACAACACAAGAAATTTTAAGTGTCAGAAACTGGGTCTTCAAACATCACTTTTTAAATCATTAATTAAAATTACTAATTCGCTTCAAATAATTATATCGCGTATATGAGTTTTTGTAGAAACTCTGATCTTGTTTATAGTATAAAAATTATTTATTCTAATTAAATATTATTTTAGTTATCGTAATATAATCTCAGCTGTCACTCTTAGAGTGTCAGAAACTGGGCCTTTTACCTTAGTCAACATAATAATTATCCGTAAAATAAACTTTATTACATGATAAAAATTATACATTTATTTTGGGAATAATAATAATCAGTTAGATGATTTTTATACTTTTAGGAATTTCAATTTTTAAAGTTAAAGAAAGCTCTTTGAAATATTTTCAATTTGGGCAAACATTAGAAAATCTTTAAACGCTATATTTATTTACGGCATTTTAGTATCAAAGAGCCCTTTTCCCATATTTTTGACTTATTTGTAGTTTCTTATTCGTATAAGCAAAACGTAGAAGTAATATATTGTTGGAATGCATAGAGCTAGCTCGTGACTGTCTCGTTCGAGAACAGAATTTCTCCCCTTTATTGTTGGATATTTCTAGCTCGAGTTTGAAATATAAATTGTGGCAATATTTTTCCTTTCAATATAAACGTTTAGAAAGCACACATGTAAATATTTACGTCAATTTTTCAAAGGCAAAATATACACTTGTATACCTGAACAAAATACCACGCCACCTGTATCTAACTGGGGCCATTTCGAATGGAAATGTGGGACCTTTGTTGTTTCGCATAGTGAAACGTACCGTATTTAAAATAGCAATAAGATAGGGGCTTTTACGTTTCATGACAAAATGGTCGAAATACACTAGTTATTTAACAGTTACAGGGTGGCTGGCTTTAAATCTTGTTATTTCATCTTAATGCTAATGCTGCTGACTTTCGCTGCATGTATTAAACCCTGAAAATGCATATGTTAGACCTGAAAACCGAAAACGCTCAGTGGCCGGAAAAAACGGCCACATCGCGTTCTGGCTGCCTTCGAACGCACAGAACGCGTTTTGGCTGTTTTTAAACGCTCGCAACGCGTTCTGGTAACTGTTAAACAACCAGAACGCGTCTTGTCAATTGTTGAACGATCACAACGCGTTCTTAATGTTCGACTTGTATTATTTACCGCTTTCTACCTGCGTACAATGAGATTTATATTGTACTTATAAAACAAATGAATTTCAATCCATTTTTCAGTTTTTAGGAAACAATTCAATTATTGACAACTATAATTGGATACCAAAGATGGGTTCGGTTTTTCTCGCCGAATCATTTCAACAATATTAAATTTCTTATAATTGTTTTTCAGTTCTAGGAAGAAAGTTACACTGAACACTTA